TACTAAAACTTGATCACTGATCTACTGATAACACTGGCCGACTGAGGGCGTATTTTTCTATCCGTATTATCACCTTATGAATAATTATTAATTTTAATAATTAACACAAACAATTAAAATAAAAAATTGGTTTATAAATTGAACTAAAAGGAAAATTATACATGCGAAAAACACGTATTTTTCAAATTTTAATGCATTTTCAGGAAGTTTGGGTAATTTTGGGCAATTTTTGCTGAATCTTTCAGCCCAGTCATTGGGTATAATATCAAAAATTGTGAATGGTCACGCTGGTGTGTTTTAGCAACGATCGAAGATTCGTTCGTTTGCGGGTGTTGTTGACAAGCTCTGATTAATATTCTGTAGCCCGAGGCCCTATAGCAAAAAGGATAGCAGTTTTGCTAGATTTGGCGACATCAAGCGAGAATAAACTATTCTAATAGTAGAAGCCAGGCCTAGGCCTTAGCTACCAATGAAAACCACCTAAGCCTAGCCTAGTAGTACGCCTATAGTATAAGTATGCCCCTAGGCTGGTATTCGGGCTAGGCCCTAGGCCTAAGCTTAGCCTTAGTAGACCATTCTCTATGGTAGACCATAAAATACGCAAGAATAACAGAAAGGATTTTTAACCCAAACATTGTGATAAGCCCCAATCGAAATACATGAAGTGGGCCTAAATTTTTATGACATAAATTTGATCGTAACTGTTCGTGCCACGTTTCTCATGATCGCGATGTCGACTTTGCAAAAAAGCCAAAATCAAGTCGGTCATTTCTATTGGCTAATCATGACGTAATATCATTTACCGTACCTTTAGCATTCGGAAGTTCCGATACGGTACCATATCTCTAGCCACACCGTTTTTATTACATGATGCTTTCGAGACTTGTTATATAGGTGGTTTCATTTCATTTATTTATCCCAATTAAATATTTTCTGGACTATCATTCCTAATAATGTTATTACTGTAGAATTATTTATGTTCATCATTCTTGTGACCAGAGCAGATGGACAAATGACTCAAGTTCTTTAAAGCTTGGTTTTCATACTATCGCTACATGCTATCTACCTATCATGCTACATGCTATCTACCTATCATGCTACATGCTATCTACCCATCATGCTACATGCTATCACTTTTGGTGGTGCAGATTGATCAGTCAAATCGACTGCTACAGTGTGCTATACAATGATTACAATGCTATACAATGATTATATAAGTGCTATACAATAAGTGCTATACAATGATAAGTGCTATACAATGATTATACAATACAATAAGTGCTATACAATGATTATATAAGTGCTATACAATGATTGCACAGAAAACACTGTAGTGAAAGTGTAGCAACCAAGCTTAAGTTTTATGGTTTAATGAAATAAAAATAGATGTACAGTATGTTGTAATGGTAACAAAGGAAAATAATTCCTGTTAAGTCTTAATTATTGTTGATCAAACTTCATAAATTATTTTTTAGGTGATGGATGATGACTATGATTGTGATGACCTGGATGTTTTGACATCACTTTTAGAGGATTACATCGAGGAAAACCCTTATGATGTAAAACCGGATTTTACCCAGTTTAAAGGTCGGAAACTAAAAGATAGTAATTTGCCGAAGTCCAACAAATCTCTCCAGGTTGATGTACGTGAATGTTCCCAAGGTGACAAGATGGAGACGGCAAAAAGCCGTTGTACATCTCAGAGTATGAAGCAAAGTAGTGGTAGTAGTGATGAAGACAAATCTAAAGCTGATTTACTTGGTAAGATTTATCAACATTTTAATTATATGTTTACTTTCACAAATTTGTTAAATTTAGCTCTGTAATTATTTGTAATCAAAGCTTAAAGAAATATAAGTTGGAATTTGATATATGATTTGATACCTAAGGAGAGACTAATATGTGAGGTGTCGTCTCAAATGAGTCTTGTCATACCAATATCAAAAATTAGATAAATGAAAATAAGGTTTATTTTGTTCTTTGAATCAAGTTCCAAAGTACAATGGTGTTTTTCAGACATTTGAAACATATTTTAGAGAAAATCTTCTCTAAAAACAAATTGTGCCTCAGAAACACCTAACACATGTAAATCAACTTGGAACATTTGCTATTTGAAAATAAGAAGTCAGAAACAATGAAATCCAATTTTAGTATAATATGTTGTCATTAGTATCAAATTATGTGTATTTCTATTGCTTTTGTCTCAAATTATGTATAGATGAGATGCAGAAAATGAAAGAGCGAATGAAGCAACTGGAGGTACAGATACAGATGAAAAAGGTAAGTACAGATAGGAAAGAAGAAAAGGAGGTAAATGGAGGAAGGAAAGAACTGGATCTATTCTCACAGGCTATGGATGAAGAAATTGCAAACAAGAATGCCGCAAAGAAGAAACTTAAAGAAATCAGTCATGTGAAGAAGAGGCGGATTGAGACTGAGAGGATGGCTAAACTCTCGGGTAAGTTTTTTTTAATTTATTTATTTTTTTTTTATTGTACTTTATTGAAGTAACTTGTCTAACAAGTTTTTGCCTCAGCAGGCATTATAACCAGCATTGGGCATTGCAATTTATATCAAATCATCATTTAATTATTTATTTGATTCAAACAACAAATACGAAAATGGGGGAGACAAGGGCTAACCAATTGGATTGGATTGGATTTATTCGGTGTAAACACCAAGGACAGCCCACGAATGTCTAGAACAAGACTTACTTCTAGTGGGGTCCTTCAGGTGGGGATTCGGCAGTACACCTAGAGACAATCCCCTAGACTTTTCTGATGTGTAATGCGTTCTTTAACCTGCACATGTACCATAAATGCACGCCAACGGCTTAAACGTCTCATCCAAAAGACGGTGCGCTATTGTAACTTGTATTTTCAGCCCTCCAGCTGAAACACAAGGAGAGGCAGTGATGGGAATTGAACCGGGGACCTACAGATCTCCACGGTTCAGCGCACACACAGTGGCTACCACAGATTATATTGAACCCCAACACGATGGCGTGCATTTCAATACTTGGAGTGTGTATTATACTATCTTATCTCAGTTTAATCAGTGGACCTTTCGGTCGTTGTATCTTAGTTTTTCTTTGTAAATTTTAATTTATGATTAAATGTGTGTTTGGTAACTAATATAATGCGAGCTTTTGTGTTTTTACTACATTTTGATGGTAAAATATTAGATTTTAAAATGCCTATTCCAGAAAGCCTATGAAGTCATTCAAGTGTAATGAATGATAACCAACGTCTGGTTGGCAACAGAGGGCGCCACCTGGTGTTGTGATGACACAACTGTGATACTCTATACAGGCATGGACTAAATTTTATCTCATCTCTCTCCTTAATAGTCTACCATTCATTCATGAAATAGCTTTCCATATATAAAATTTTGTTGTTTTATTTACATTTCTACAATATTCTATATTTCTAGGCATATCTTCTGAGGACCTTCTTGCATATGATGATTACAATGATTGGGATTTCTGCAACAGTGATAATGATGAAGAACATTATGAAAGCGCTAGTCCTACCAAGGAAAAAACTTACCCAGACTCTGAGCAGAATGAGAATAGTTCCTTATTTAATAAGAATAAAAAACGAAAGGCCCATTCACCAAACACCAATGTATTGAATGTATTGAAAGAAAAAAGTAAGATTTTAATTTGTTTTTTAAAATTGCTTGGCAGATAATATTATAGGTTTGTGGTACACCACATGAATAGTTCTGGGAAGAATTAATGTGATGATGTTTTCATATAGATTTCTCTATTCCTCTCTTGAAGACAGTGCTATATCTTGGGGGTGCATGGGGGCACACTAACCCCCCAAAAAATGTTGCATCGCCCTGCCCGGCCCCCCCCCCCCCCCAAAAAAAATCACACTCAAGGAAATAAAATCACCTCAAATCATCTTTTTTTCCAAGCCAGCACCCCTCACCTAATCATCAAGCTTCACCTTCGCGCACCCCATCAGCTCTAGATGTGTATAAGAGACAGGCCTAGATGCTCAAAGAGTGTGTGTAGCTCTTCTTCGGTTATTTCCACAATTTCAACAGCGCCCATCGTCTTGCAATATTTGTCGAATATTGATAAGACATATTTAATTTGTCTTTTGGAGCTTTTGCTATCAGCTTCATTAAGAAGTAATGGGCCTACATCCAGGAGCTCGAACCAACCATGTTCCATTTTTTATCGTCTACTCGCTGATCCATGGCACGGTCAAGGGCCAATCTCTTTCATCGTAAAGGTCGCAGTCCTGTTTGCCTTTAGCATGATGTTAAGTGTGGGCCTAGAGTTTGCACATCAGGCGACATGGCAAAAAAGTACTATTTTTCAGGGGAATAGTATTCTGCTGCCCGCTTCTTAACCAATCAGATGCGTAGAATCTATGTATGAGGTATATGATATATACTATAGTATGACTATAGTGTAGTGATATAGTATTTATATATGATGGTACATTAACTTTTCTTGCTTCTTGTGTTTAAATATCCTTGCCTATTTTTTGCATAAACTGTTTGCATACATATCAAAATCATGTTGGTTAGATTTTAAATGAATGGTTTTTTTGTTTTTTTTGACAGCGAGTCCGTACAAGTGTCGGCTCTGTGACAGGCAGTTTAACAACTTTGATTCCTTCAATCTACATCAATTTCAGCATTGCAAAGAACATCCGTATGAGTGCAAGAGCTGTGATAAGATCTTCCCTAATAAACTACTATTGAAATCTCACTCCAGAACTCATGGTGATAGCCGTGTTGAAAACCAGAACAGCACACCAACAAGAAAATCCTTATCTCAAAGTAAATCCTTATCTCAAAGTCAGAGTAAACTGAGCCATTATTATCCGACTGAACTCAATCAGAATAGCAAGAGACCATCTGTGACATCAAGTGACTCTAGTGCCCTCGAGGGCCACCTGGCTGTCAAAAAGCGAAAGATAGAAGAGGAAGTTTTAGAAACAGATGCTTTTTCACAAATAAGAATAATGTGAGTAAAAAAATTATTTTAATAGTTATGCATGCAATGTGATAAAAAGTCGTTTGCTATGGGATGACTGTCGGTTATTAAGTAGGTTTCGAACACGAACGAATATGTGTACGCATACGTTTAGCTATCAGTAATGGTTTGTAGCCATTCTGTTTTTTTCACAATCACAGTACAATTCAAGCGTAGGCCGAGGGCCTAGGCCTATACTCCGTTTTCTTCTCTCATTATGCTTAAATTTTAGTATGTAAGGTTTTGGAAATTGATAGCCGAATAATACTCATTCCTTTGTTGCCCAGAGGATTTGGTTATTTTGTGATAGGTTTGTGATAGGCCCTATTGTTTATGACCCAAAAATTCCAGGCTACAAGCCAGGCCTAGGCCTACACGAGAATCCCGACACCACCAAGATCCAAGCACCAACCTTTTGATACCCCAAAATGAGACACATCCTATTATAACTTGCTATCTTCAAGTGTCACAAAAATGGCACGTACGTATTCATAGATACATTTATTTTTTACACTACTGTAAAATGTGACAAAAATACGAAGATTCCACTAGAAATCTAAAATTTTCCTACGCGTTTTTCACTTACGTGTAGTGGGCGAGACAGGGTTCGAAATAACGCTGGTCCGCTGGCCAATGGCTACTAAAATGCATGGCAGACCTGTTAATTATCCCAATAACAAGTCTGCGTGACCAGTTAAAATGTCAATGAAAGAATGACGAAATACCTAAAGCTTTAATCATTCACCTCTTAACGATGTTTTTACAAAATATTTCACACAGATAATGTCAACAATATCGCTATTTTCTGTTTATTGTCATGTTAATGTCCGCTATGAACAGCCTCGGTCTCAGTCATTCAAGGCGAACCGATGAACATCACGCACTAGCCTAGACCATAGAGGAATCCATGGCTACACATACAGAGGGAAATCACCTTCTCCGCATGTTATAGCGACAAGGAGAAGTTGATTTCCGTCTGTGTGAACACCGTGAAGTTAAAACATCCATGTCATGTATCCATCCCACAATGCAACGTGGGACAAAAAGTTAATAAACAACGCAACGATTTCCAGACGAAATAACGCAATAATCGCACCCTGTAAATGAACCGTTCGTACAGTCCCAATAGCATTGCCATGGAGATTATCTATTAATTAAAACGACACTCCAGTAAAATGTTATATAAAGCAGGGAGTTGGATAAAGTCAAAGTTATGCCTTCCATTGTTTTAATAAAGTGCATTATCGGCTATGAATACTTAAAAATCGACTGTAATCAACCTGAAATGAAAAAGGAACTCAAAGCAATTGTTTCTGTTGGCTCTTTTTCAGTAGACGTTTAATTCGGATTTGGTATGTCATTAGATTCATATATCAGTCTACATGTAAATTACACTCACATTCCTCAAAAACATTGCTAATTACGGAGGGAATTTGCAGAGAATGAAATTTTAATTTGTTAAATTTTTAGATTTTACTCTAAAACAAAACCACGAGGGTTTCTTATTCATTTTAATAAATTTGTTTAATTTAAAATTTATCGGTTTACGCTAAGCTTATTCCTGTCAGCAAGCTGTCACGCACTTTGAAACTTTGGGCGATCTGACGTCACCACAGTGGGATTTTTGCCCAGCAACATGACCCCACGAAAAAAATTAAGCAATTAGCCGGAAGAGTTTAGGAGGCGCGACCTGATATTTACAACAAGTCGCATCGTCGTGACCACGAAGAATGTGTTGTTTACAGTTTAGAAAAAAATGTCAGACCGAAAATGCACGTAAAAACAATATAAAAGCATTCATTTTATTGGTACAGTAATACAATTTGCTGTGCACTACAGCTAAACAACAGGTACTGTACGTATTATATGTTAAACTTTTTTCGTAGGCTAGTCATACCGAATTCACTGGGCTAGCCTATGCTGCTAAGCCTATTTTTAGCGTCTCGGCTTAGGCTAGGCTCTAACTGGCCTGCCTTATTCGGAAAGGATTCAATAGGAATGTTCCACAAACTGATCTTTACTGAAAACCGAACATCGTAGCGAACATCGTATTGTGAGTGCACTGTACATACAAATAGATTCCTGTATTTATATTTTGCGGCATAATTTCCCATACAGAGACAACAGAAAGATTTTTCTGTATCCGTCAGTGTTACTTCATTGGTGCGGGTGAGGCAGCATGTTTAGCATGTGAAAAATATGGTATTTGGGCCTTCCAAAGTTGGCAAGATAGTGGCTAGTGAAAGAGATTGAGGACCAGTAAAAGTATTAATTTACTGGTCCACTTGGCTAGTTAAAAAAAACCTTAAGGGAAACCCCTGGTGAAATATGCGTGTCGTCCACATGTTTAGTGTTTATCAACCGGTGTATGACTTCATTAAAGATGACGTATCCATCACGTATGCGTTAGCGTGCAAAACCTCCCTTTTAATCAATCATTTAAGACTGTTTAAGGCCATGTTATAGCACTCTGCCTTTGATTATTTGGACACTCATTAGATGTAAGTAATCTATTTAAACTTTGACCTTGCTACTAACCAGTGTGGTTTAGTGGTTGTAATGGGGGTAGGAGTGCGAGTTACCCTGGCCAACATTATTAACCCATCTGTTACGTGGTGCTGTAAAGAGCTTATACAGCATTGTTTGTGGTGAATTATAAAAATATATCTTGTATGCTTGCTGAAATGATTTTGGTTTACATTGTTTTACAGTGTGTTTAATATAAGCCATTGATGATCATCATGGTTGACTAGCTTCTGAGTTACTTTATAATCATTTTTGATAATAATTTTTGTAAGTCAATGTATTTTAATATTTTTTTTTCAGAAACCCACTAGTGTCATCTTCATCATTTAGGAAGTATATTGGTGATAGAAAATTTATACGTTTATCAATTCTAAAGTCATACCTGAATGGAGGTGAAATTGAAGGGAACTGGGTGACTAGTGGTGTAATCATTTCCAAGACACCACCAAGGACAAGTGCAAAGGTAAGCCATAAACAAAATTTGTTAATTAGGAAGGGGTGGAGGATAAGATTCTATTAATTCTAAGAGTCGCTAAAGACAAGTGCAAAGGTAAGCCCTATATTTTTTGATAGGTGGAAGGAGTAGGTGCTATCACTTTAAAGAAACAATCTAAGTGCATACAAAACTCTTCAAATTAGTGAAGAGAAGGGGAGGGGCATCGATCAATTTCAAGACCAGTGCGAAGATATGTGGAAGTTGAGTGGTGCAGCAGTTTAGTGCTTGGATTTTTAATAATTTGGATGCAAGTTTGTGACTGACGCTGGTTATACTTTCTGTCCTTAGCACTTTATGTTTACCCCTCTTCACTGAGAAGTAAAAATGGGTACCTGGTACAATAGGAGGTGAATGAATCAGATTAAAATTGTTAGTGCTGTATTACATGTATAACTGGAATACTTCCCAGGGAGCGAAAATGGTTGCTAACTGTGTTTGATTGAGTTTGTGACCAGGGCAAAAAAGTTGCCTTGAGCAGTTCTGAATTGGATATGTGCACTTTATAAATACTATTAAAGTATTAAAGTTGAGTTCTAATGTTGATGTAGAGGAAGAACTGTTCCTGGTAAATACCAGTAGTGGTATTAGCACTAGGGCACCATCAGTATCATCAACTACTCATAATGCCCATCTCGACATGCCAATTACTAATTGAGGCTAGCACCGAAGCTCTGTAATGACATCTCCAATACATTACCATTGGTTCCTTTGTATAACTGGCTATTTAAAAGAAAAAAAATATTATTATTATTATTTACCTCACATCCAGCAGTGCGTACACTCGCCACTTACAGGATGAGAACGATGCTTTTAAACTAAGTCTCTTTATGAGGCTTAAGGAGTGGAGTTGGTTTTGTCATGACAAAAAGTCCTGCTGTGACAGGAATTGAAACCAGGACCCTGGGATCAGAAGGCAAGCATCTTAACCACTGAGCAGTTCAATTCCACTCAATTGTCAATGTTATTTTTTGCCTATTTATTGGTAATTTCCAATTACCCCTCCCCATTTACGTTTTTATGAACATGATGCTTACTGATGATAGTTGAATGTCACATGGCAATTTATCATATAGTAGGAATGAAAACAACTGCGTAGGTTTCTGAAGATAAATCTTTTGTTAGTTCAAAAGTTGTTCATTAATCTCTTGTAGAAAAAAACAAATTTAGAAGTAACAAATGATGCCTGAGACTGACTGACATTGTCAAGGGACAAAAAAAAAGTGAAAAGTGTAAATTTTTTATGTATTAAACTACAGCTGTCATTTCCTGGAGTGTGTACCACGCCCAGTGCATTAATACTACATGCAGAGGGTTTTAGCTTGAGATAGGCGATTCCATATTGGTACGCTCGATGTGTGGTTTCAAAGAAATTCTTTGTAAATATACCAGTCTTTTGTTATCCATTACAGGCTGGTATATAAGTTTGAATCCCAGATTTTTAATTGAAAAGTTTAGTAACATATTACCTGATTCATAGATATTTTTGATTTGATTTTGATTTATAAATTATTTTTATAATTTATTCATTGTACGCACTGTAGGATGTACAATGAATAAATATTTCTGTGTAATTTTTTCTTTTTTTCTGTAAACAATGTAAAACCAATTAATTTGAAACTTACAAATAATGTATAGAAACTTACACAAAATGAGGTATAAAGTAAACTAAATGTTACTACAAATTTTCACATGTTTGGAAATTCATATTTATGATCATGCAAAACCTGAGGCAAATGATATATCATAAGTATTTGAAGCCATTTGTTTCCATCAACAGAAAATTCCAAGAAATTTGCAATAATTTGGACATTAAATATCGGTAGAATATTGTATGATTTATGATGAAATCCGTTCCTTGACAAATGTTATGGCATCTATCAACTTTTAAAGGAATTATTAAGATTCATGATTTACCATTTACTTATGCGATATTTACTTGTTATTTGTGTTGCTAGCAGGCTTTATGTTTAAAAAAATTGCTCTTTTATTTATTTTAATGTGGGTAACCATCTCACAAATATTGCTGTCTTTTAAATATTTTGTTTAATTTAATCTGAGTAACCATTTCCAAAAATTGCTGTCATTTATATATTTTATTTATTTTAATCTGGATCCATCTCAGAAAAAATGCTGTTTTTTACTCCAAGGAAACTCACAATAAGGCCTAAAAAAACTGTCATCCGCCGCCCCTAAAATCCCGAAAATTAGGGGCAGGTTTTATTTTTCCAAAAAAATTGGTTTTTTTTTAGTACAAACATACTAGGTTTGTTAATGCACGTTTGGTTGGTGTAACTTTTGTTATACCTTCTACTACCTATATATCCCTCCTGCTTACCGATGCTGTACTAGGCATTACTAACCATGGTAGGCAAGGATTTTAGGCCGTGCAACAGTAAGCTGTGGAGACCTAGGGCCTGCAGTCATAAGTCCTTGACTATTGCACTGGTAGTATAATCTCCACACCTGATTGGTTTGATTTCAAAAAATGACACATCCTTGTTTTATGACTATGTTGAATCTTTTATTGTTTGGTGTAAGGAGAATTTTCTTGAACTAAATGCAAAGAAGACTAAGGAAGTTATTGTCGATTTCAGAAGAAAAAATAAAACTAATCATGAAAATATTGTAATCGATAATGAGAGGGTGGAAATTGTTGAAAAACACAAGTATCTGGGACTGATTATTGATAATGAACTAAACTGGGAAGCAACACTAAAGAAATCCGTACCAAGGCAAATAAAAGAATGTATTTTGTATATAGAATGAAACGGTTTAATGTTAGCTCTCATCTTATTCATATGTTTTATTCCTCGGTTGTCCAGTCAATTCTTTCTTATTGTATTATTATTA